TCTTCTTATCGTTGGTTCACTGCCTGCCATAAATCCACTCGCCTTCACGGGAACTTGCTCTCCTGAATGCACATGTGCCGTAGAGATGGCGTAACGCACGCTGCTAGAGTAGGAGTTTGGCTGAGAGTTGGAGCAAGTTATACATTTTTCTGTGAGTAAAAGTAGATTTCTGTGAATACAGTCAATCATTATCCTGGTGATTATTTGGCAGGTAAAGCTAGTAACGCCGTAATTCCCATCCCTATGAGAGAGTGTGAACGCATGATACGTTAAAAAAACTAGAGTTTGACAGGTACTGACAGAAAGCAGTCAGAGCCATGGTCAGCTGGAGTTCTTTACCCGCCTTATGATGGCTAACATTGACCATTTTAGTTTTCACTTCGTATAGCATTGTAAATTGCTTGAAATGATGATGTTTTAGTTTTATTTCTATGTATGTTTGCCACTGGGTGTGTGAGGGCCCCAGGAAGAATAGCTCGTGCTAATGGGGATCCTTTGTGATGTGTTTCCGGTCGTTCAGGAGGTGAGCGCCTTAGAGTGTGAAATCCAGCTCCTGAAGAATTTGTGCCACGAGCGGATCGTCCAGTATTACGGCTGCCTGCGAGACACCATGGAGAGAACGCTGTCCATCTTCATGGAGTACATGCCGGGCGTAAGGGATACTTTATTTAAATTCGGATTGTTTTATTCATCATTCTTTAAAGTGGATGAATCTCCTGCTTCAATTTTGCTTGGCGCTCGTCCAAAGTGAAATGGTTTTGTGTCGCTCACATGCGTTTCTATCCTGTGGTGGACCTCAGGGCTCCATCAAGGACCAGCTGAAGTCGTACGGAGCGCTGACGGAAAACGTGACGCGGCGCTACACCCGTCAGATCCTGGAGGGCGTGTCCTACCTGCACAGCAACATGATCGTGCACAGAGACGTCAAAGGTGAGCTTGATTTTGTATTGACGTTTGGCCGAAAACAATTACAGTGTTTTTTCCAGACATAGTGCTCTGGCCTTCGAGGCTTTAGGAAACCATTCCACTTTCTGCATCCTGACTCAAATAGTTCCACTTTGTGATTAGAGGATGTTTTTAATGCTATTTTATTATTTCTATTGAGATGTTTTCATTTTGGAATGTTTCATGTCTCCTCTCCTCCCCTCCTCCTCTCTCTTCTCCTCTCTTCTCCTTTCTCCTCTCCTCTCCTCTCTCCTCTCCTCTCCTCCCCTCCCCTCCTCCTCTCTCTTCTCCTCTCATCTCATCTCCTCTCATCTCTCCTCTCTTCTCATCTCCTCTCATCTCTCCTCTCTCCTCTCCTCTCCTCTCTCCTCTCCTCTCATCTCTCCTCTCATCTCATCTCCTCTCATCTCTCCTCTCCTCTCTCCTCTCCTCTCCTCTCCTCTCTCCTCTCCTCTCATCTCTCCTCTCCTCTCATCTCATCTCTCCTCTCCTCTCTCCTCTCCTCTCATCTCCTCTCTCCTCTCCGTCTCATCTCCTCTCTCATCTCCTCTCTCCTCTCCTCTCCTCTTCTCTCTCCTCTCCTCTCATCTCCTCCCCTTCTCTCTCATCTCCTCTCATCTCCTCTCTCTTCTCCTCTCGCCTCCTCTCATCTCATCTCCTCTCCTCTTATCTCCTCTCCTCCCCTCCTCTCCTCTCTCCTCTTCTCTTCTCCTCTCCTCTCCTCTCTCTCCTCCTCCTCTCGTCTCCTCTCTCTTCTCCTCTCCCCTCCTCTCCTCTCTCCTCTCATCTCATCTCCTTTCGTCTCCTCTCCTCTCTCTTCTCCTCTCCCCTCCTCTCATCTCATCTCCTCTCTCATCTCCTCTCCTCTCATCTCCTCTCCTCCCCTCCTCTCCTCTCCTCTCTCCTCTCCTCTCCTCTCCTCCCCTCCTCTCTCTTCTCCTCTCCTCTCCTCTCCCTTCTCCTCTCATCTCCTCTCGTCTCGTCTCCTCTCTCCTCTCTCTTCTCCTCTCATCTCGTCTCGTCTCCTCTCTCCTCTCTCTTCTCCTCTCCTCTCCTCTCATCTCCTCTCCCCTCCTCTCCTCTCTCATCTCCTCTCCTCTCCTCCCCTCCTCCTCTCTCTTCTCCTCTCCCCTCCTCTCATCTCATCTCCCCTCTCCTCTCATCTCCTCTCCTCCCCTCCCCTCCTCTCATCTCCTCTCTCCTCTCTCTTCTCCTCTCCTCTCCTCTCCTCTCTCCTCTCTCGTCTCGTCTCCTCTCTCCTCTCTCTTCTCCTCTCCTCTCCTCTCCTCTCCTCTCTCCTCTCTCTTCTCATCTCCTCTCTCCTCTCATCTCCTCTCTCCTCTCTTCTCCTCTCCTCTCTCTTCTCCTCTCCTCTCCTCTCTCCTCTCCTCTCTCCTCTCCTCTCCTCTCATCTCTCCTCTCTCTTCTCATCTCCTCTCTCATCTCCTCTCTCCTCTCTTCTCCTCTCCTTTCTCTTCTCCTCTCCTCTCCTCTCTCCTCTCCTCTCTCATCTCCTCTCCTCTCCTCCCCTCCTCTCATCTCATCTCCTCTCTCCTCTCTCTTCTCCTCTCCTCTCCTCTCTCCTCTCTCGTCTCGTCTCCTCTCTCCTCTCTCTTCTCCTCTCCTCTCCTCTCCTCTCATCTCCTCTCTCCTCTCTCTTCTCCTCTCATCTCCTCTCTTCTCCTCTCCTCTCTCTTCTCCTCTCTCCTCTCCTCTCTCCTCTCCTCTCCTCTCAGGGGCCAACATCCTGCGAGACTCGATGGGTAACGTGAAGCTTGGGGACTTCGGGGCCAGCCGGCGTCTGCAGACCATCTGTCTGTCGGGAACAGGCATCATGTCGGTGACGGGCACCCCGTACTGGATGAGTCCGGAGGTGATCAGCGGAGAGGGCTACGGCAGGAAGGCGGACATCTGGTGAGAGAATCCACCGGTCCTGATCGATCTGTTTCTCTTTGTTCAATCCACCAACAGCTACTTCATCCTTTGAGATGCATCAATGCAGCT